AAGTTACTCACATAGACAACAGTTAAAAATAATTGACTATTGAATGTTGTTAAAACTTTTGTTGTTGAAAGTTATGTGTATAAACCGTTGTCTTTAACTTGTTTTATTTTGAAGTATAATATAATAATAACAATTTATCAAAACATCATAAATACAAAAGTATCAATTCATTAGTACAATCGATCATCTTCTACAAAATAATCATGTAAAAAATAACCATGCATGGCCATTTATAATTAAAAAGGCACAACAAGACAATGAACTTTTAAACCCGTTGTCGTAGAAGTGTTGTGCATTCAAGGTGTGTTTAAAGACAACACACTGACAACAACGGATAAATAAAATTATCATCCTTTTTTAAAAAATACTTTTAATAAAAACCGCATAAATACAACATTTTTTAAAAAAAAAAAATCGTTGTCTTTTTATAAAAATGCACAAAGACAACATTGAAATGTTATATATTGAGTGAGCGTCTGTTTAAAGAGAACACACTAATGAAAACAAATTAAATAAGATTGTTGTCTTTATTTAAACAACGCACAAAGACAACTTGACTTTTAAAACCTTGTTGTTGAAGTGTTGTACTCAAAGTACCCTTAAAAACAACACATCAACAACAACGGATAAATAAAATCGTTGTAAGGTAAAAAATGCACATAGACAAACACACTAAAAACAACATTTTGATAAAAACGAGTTGCTGCTATAGAATAACGAGGTGAGATTTACCCCACTCTAATAGTGGCTACGAATTTCACTCTTTGTCATTCAAAAAACATGTAGATCATACGTACCTAGGCAACCTGGATGGAGATATGGATTGCCTTCATAGCCCTTGTCACAAGCGCATCTGTATCCATAATCAGGACCTTCAAAAGGGACACAGGTGGTGTTACCTTGGCATGTACTGCCAGAGTTACTGCACGTATCGTTGAAGATGACCCAGTCAATTACCATTGGCATTCTCTTCTCTTTTTGCCATTCTTGGGTAAGCATATCGGAGGAGAAGTTGAACTCATCCTTTTTCACCACAAACGCGTAGCTACAATTAGTAATATTGCCATCTGCATTCGTCGCCATGGTTTTCGATGTAAAATTCACGTTCCTGGCCACGATAGGAATGTTATTCATCTGGCAACACCCGATTCCCGAGCAAGTCCCATTCGCCACATCTTCCAAGCGGTTACAGGTGGCTTTACAACCAGTTTGGTACGACCATTCATTGTCTTCTCCCCAGAAAGTGGCAGTAGTGTTGCAGCCGACAGCGACGAACTTATTGGCGGTCTGGTTGACGTACATTTTTGATAATTTGATCCATGATGTATCGGCCTGTGGTGTGTTAACTTGATCGCAATTTTTAGCTATGAGTTTCATGACGATCAACTGCCCTTCAACTGATATCCTTCTTACCCGTATATTACTGTGCCCTAAAAGTGGCATAGGAGAACCATCAATGGAAGTGGTGCAATTGATGAAGAAATCTGAGTTTATAGAACAATCTTGGGTCAAACCAAAGGGAAATGGGATGCTTACGTTCCCACAATGATCAACACAGTTGGGTTTGGCTATGGGATAATCACTTTTTGATGTAGCGGTAGAAGCAAAACTCAGTACTGCCGACAACACAAGAACTACTACAAGGAAGCTCATGTTGTTCGACAACAATACAAAGTACAAACGGTTGGTCTGTGTTGGATGTGTAACTTTCTTAATTTACAGCTACTATATATGCAAGTCCATGCACTCTAATCTTGAGGGAATACAAACCAAAAATACCAAATCACCTAGACCTAGTCCAAAACAACACGTTAAGAGACTTTTTTTTTTTTTTTTTTTTTTTTTTTTTTTAAAGATGTCCAAAGACTATTTGTAGTGAGAATATGAAAGCAATAGTCCCAATTAAATTGAGCAATCAAAACATGTCAAATCATGAATAGGACTTAGGAGTACATGTAGAATTACTCATTTAACTCCTAGGGGACCAGCCTATTAGGCTCTTGTTTTGAGTCAAACAGCTTTTGATTTGAACCTATCAATTATGGTCAATTTAGGTTAGTTTACCACTTGTGATCTTTTGACAACTAGGATTACAAGGTTAGATTTGCTTGATACACATCTTTAAGTCCTGATTGTAGATTTTTCATGTCATTAAAAAAAAAAAAAAAAAAAAGCCAAGGCAACCAAGTCCAAAGGTTTTATGTATAAACCATAATAAGAACACCCAATTTGACACTATTTTACTTGTTTCCGTCAATGTCTTGATCCGTAATGTTACGTTATATATGCTTGATTTCTTCTAAGTCTCCCCCCAACTATATACGACAACCCATGGGTTAAAATTTAAAAACAAGAAAAGGTATACATTGTGATGGGACAGCACACAAATAAAAACATTATATAAAAAAAGTCTAATTTTTATTTCTCGATTATTTCAAATATTATTAATTTGGTAATTTTGATCTTTCGGGTAGCGAGCTATCGGAAAATTAGAGAAATGATTAATAATATATTTTGTGTGATATCAAAGCAAGTAAACAGTCATCATCAAAATATATTTTAATATTTGGCACGCATTAGGAAAATAATAATATTTCTGAAAATTTATTTCTTAACACCGACTTAAAAAGACTTTTAACATAAAAATAAATAATCCATGTATATCGTTATCATGGACTAAAATTTTAATAAAATGAAGTAAATATCTCAATGTATAAAAAAGATGGAGCCAAAGCGCAATACTCTAAGGGATGAGAAATTTAGAAGTCTTATTTAAAACCTATTTCTAGCAATAGGGTGGGTTTTTTTTTTTTTTTTTTTTTAACTGATTTTTTTATTATTATTATAAAGAAGAGGATACCCTACACAATAGGGTGAGTTTCATTCTTAGTTTGGATTGGACTAATTATTAAGGGTGTTAGGCTGTTAGCGAATATAGCTTTCGACAAACTACTTGTGTTCGTGTTCGCTAAGCTAAGTGTTCGTTTATTAAGGTAAACGAACATAATGAACCAATTTTATAGCTCGGTTCATAAACGAACAGAGTCTAAACAGTTGTAGGCGCATTTGCTAAGAGCTCGTAATCAAGCTCGTTTGTTCTCGGTTAATAATTTTCATGGACAAGCTCGTTTAGTCCGTATGGTTTTTGGTGGATGGGGCATGTGGGTTATCGCAACCCACATGTGCGAACTCCCATGACTAGGTAATCCGCATAACTTTTGGTGGATGGGTCATGTGGGTTCTCGCAACCCACATGCGCGGACTTTCCAGACTCGGCAGTCCGCATGGCTTTTGGTGGATGAGGCATGTAGGTTATCGCAACCCACATGCGCGAACTTGTCGGACTCGGCAATCCGCATGGATATTGGTGAATGGGGCATGTGAGTTATCGCAACCAACATGCGCGGACTCACCGCACACCGGCAGACCGCATGGTTTTTTTCTGGATCGGGCATCTGGGTTAACGCAACCCACATGCGCGGACTTGCCAGACTCGGCAGTCTGCATGGCTTTTGTTGGATGAGGCATGTGGGTTATCGCAACCCACATGCGCTGACTCGGCAGTCCGCTTGGCTTTTGGTGGATGGGGCATGTGGGTTATCGCAACCCACATGCGCGGATTTTCCAGACTTGGCTGTCCGCATGGCTTTTGGTAGAGGGGGCATGTGGGTTATCGCAACCCACATGCGCGGATTTGCCAGACTTGGTTGTCCGCATGGCTTTTGGTGGATGGAGCATGTGGGTTATCGCAAACCCAAATGCGCGAACTCGCCAGACCTGGTAGTCCGTATGGTTTTTGGTGGATGGGGCATGTGGGTTATCGCAACCCACATGTGCGAACTCCCCAGACTCGGTAATCCGCATTACTTTTGGTGGATGGGGCATGTGGGTTCTCGCAACCCACATGCGCGGACTTTCCAGACTCGACAGTCCGCATGGCTTTTGGTGGATGGGGCATGTAGGTTATCGCAACCCACATGCGCGAACTTGTCGGACTCGGCAATCCGCATGGCTTTTGGTGAATGGGGCAAGTGAGTTATCGCAACCAACATGCGCGGACTTGCCAGACACGGCAGACCGCATGGCTTTTTGGTGGATGGGGCATCTGGGTTAACGCAACCCACATGCGCGGACTTGCCAGACTCGGCAGTCCGCATGGCTTTTGTTGGATGGGGCATGTGGGTTATCGCAACCCACATGCACGGACTCGCTAGACTCGGCAGTCCAAATGGCTTTTGGTGGATGGGGCATGTGGGTTATCGCAACCCACATGCGCGGATTTTCCAGACATGGCTTCCGCATGGCTTTTGGTGGATGGGGCATGTGGGTTATCGCAACCCACATGCGCGAACTCGCCAGACTCGGTAGTCCGCATGACTTTTGGTGGATGGGGCATGTGGGTTGTCTCAACCCACATGCGCGAACTCGCCAGACACGGTAGTCCGCATGACTTTTGGTGGATGGGGCATGTGGGTTCTTGCAACCCACATGCGCGGACTTGCCAGACTCGGCAATCCACATGGCTTTTGGTGGATGGGGCTTGTGGGTTATCGTAACCCACATGCGCGGACTTGCCAGACTTGGAAGTCCGCATGCCTTTTGGTGGATGGGGGATGTGAGTTATTGCAACCTACATGCGCGGACTTGCCTGACTTGGTAGTCCGCATGCCTTTTGGTGGATGGGGCATGTGGGTTATCGCAACCCACATGCGCAGACTTGCCAGACTTGGCAGCTCGCATGGCTTTTGGTCAGGGGCGGAGCCAGAAAACCTGAGTTGGGGGACCAATGTAGTAAAAAAAATTTACAATGTTAGTCGACAATAAAATTAATCGTACCATATTATTATATATACCATACATTCACTACAAGAACAAAGACATTTAGTGACAATTTTTTTGTGACGCTTCATAATTTAGTCACAAATAATACACTATTTGTGACCAAAAAAATAATTCAACACTATTGTGTGGTGTAATTGTGTTAACTTTTTTTTGTTCATAGATAATATGGTAATTGTGACAAGTAAGTATTTGTTACGAATAAGTTGTCACTGCTATTAGAATAATTGTGTCGTAACATGCGTTGTCACTAAATGTATGTTTATTTTGGCGGCATTATAATTAAGGCGGGAACGAATGTAATTGTGACAAAAAACAATGTTGACACGTGGACAACCAAAGGGGTTGGGGGGCCTGCTATAAATAGAGGCACTATATCTTTGGCTAAGGGCAACTCGAACACTATCAGCACTATGGTCTAGTGGTCTTGATCTCTTATTCTCAACCCAGCCACCTGGATTCGATTCCTATTGGTAATAGTTAGCAATAGCCCACCCCGTGGGCCTTGTTCTTTGTATTTGGGCATGTACGTTCTATTTTGGGGAATAACGTCCCGGGTAATAAACCCAATGTTTTCTACCCCCGTCTTGTGTCTCTATACCGGATTTATGGTGGATCAGGTCCCAATAAAACCATCAATTCCAATGTGAATTTAATTGCCAAAAATTAAGTTTTGTATTGTCTTCATGTGAACTTGGTTATGAATTGGATGAAATTGAGTGGAATCTTTCATAGTTATGGCCAAATTATGCAAGAGATATTCGGAATTAGTGATTCACCTATGAGAATAGGGCTAAACCATAGCCTAGATGAGATTCAAGGCGTTGAAACGAAAATGCCCACCATATGTGTTTCATCCTTAGGACGTCATCAGTGCCTTTTACGGGGGATTAACTGACGAGAATAAGACGTTGTTAAATTCATCGTCAAAGGGGGCATTTGTGTCCTCATTGCCAGAAGAAGCTGAGAAATTGATTGAGACTATTTCAATCAACACTTCTTGTTGGTATAACAAAAGGGACTCTAAGTTCGGATTATATGAGGTGAGTAACAGTACAGCTTCTGATGCCAGAGTTGAAGCAATGGGGTATGAAATCTTGAGGCTTCAAGCAAAGATTGAGAAAATGGGTAAGCAACCACAATAGGGAAATCCGTGTATGTCACTAGCTCTTTACTGTGACATATGTGGTGGACCCCGTGAGACCCAAGAGTGCACTTCTACATATGATGATCCCGGTTATGAACAAGTTAGTGTTGTGGGTTACCAAAAGCCTCAAAACTTCAATTCATATGGTAAAAACAACCAAAACTGGAGGCAAGGTCAAGAGTGGCAACGATGAATGCGATGAATTCAATTAACCGTAACAGAATGAATTACAGATAGTATATCAGAAGTCTACACTAAAGACTCCTAACTATTAGGCTAGTAGAATTAGACTTAATCTCCTACCACAAACTAATATACTATAGACATAACAATAATAATAATAATAATAATATAAACCATACTAACACACCCCCTCAAGCACAAGGTGGGTGAAGCACAACATTGAGCTTGTCCCGTAGTAGTGTGAACCTCGGTCCTGGTAGCGGTTTGGTGAGAACATCTGCTAGCTGATCTTTGGTAGATATGAAGTTAACCAGTAAGTCCCCCGAAGCAACTTTGTCACGGACGAAATGGTAATCAATCTCCACATGTTTCGTCTTAGCATGGAACACCGGATTAGCGCAGAGATATGTAGCACCCAAGTTATCACACCATAAAGTAGACGGTTGTCCAGAGTGCAGCCCTAGCTCACGAAGTAGAGATACAATCCATGTGACTTTAGCTGCAACTTCTGCTAGAGCTTTATACTCGGCTTCAGTAGAGGAGCGGGCTACCGTGAGTTGTTTCCGAGAGAGCCAGGAAACAAGGTTAGTCCCTAGGAAAACAGCAAACCCACTTGTACTCTTTCTGTCAACAGGACAACCGGCCCAATCCGAGTCTAAATAAGCATGAATGGCTGTAGTCGAGGATGGTGATAGCCGTAACCCATAATCAATAGTTCCCTTGATGTATCGTAACACACGTTTGACCATAGCTCAGTGCTCCGTAGTGGGTGAATGCATAAACTGACAGAGGCGGTTTACTGCATAGGAGAGATCAGGACGTGTGATAGTAAGGTACTGCAGTGCCCCTACTATACGCTGATACTGTGTGGGATTATCAAACGGTTCATCTGACGGAGATACAACATGAGTTACAGAGGCTGGTGCCGCAAGTGGTTTGCAATCCAACATCCCGGAGCGATTTAATAAGTCATTCATATAGCGCCGCTGTGACAGAACCATGCCCGAGTCTGAGTGTACTGTTTCAATCCCCAAGAAGAAACCTGGTCTTCCGAGGTCCCGGATCTTGAAGACAGAAGCTAGACGCTGGAGCAAGGAGTTGATTAAGACTGCATCACTGCCCATCATAATTATGTCGTCAACGTACACTAACAGATAAACCTGTGAAGTAGACGTGGTGTAGTAAAAAAGCGAGACATCGGTTTTGGATGACGAAAAACCGACTGAAATTAGGAAATCATGCAGCCGTTTAAACCAAGCCCTCGGAGCCTGTTTGAGGCCATATAGAGAGTGCTGTAAGAGGCACACATGGCCTGGGTGTGCCAGATCTTCATACCCTGGAGACTGCTTCATATATACTGTTTCAGCTAGATGCCCGTTTAGGAAGGCATTATGGACATCCAGCTGCCGTAATGCCCAGTTGTTCGTTATAGCCATAGAGAAAAGGATACGAACCGTGGTTGGTTTGACAACCGGGCTAAAGGTGTCAAAAAAATCTTCACCAGCCACCTGATTAAACCCTTTGGCTACGAGTCGCGCTTTGTAACGCTCGACCGAGCCGTCTGCTTTCCGCTTAGTGCGGAAGACCCACTTGCACCCAATGATGTTCATAGTTGGATCCGGTGGCACTAGACGCCAAGTGTTGTTATGGAGTAGAGCATTGAACTCTTGGTCCATAGCGTCACGCCACTGTGGATGTCCAACTGCTTGGGAGTAGCACGTTGGATCAGTCGTTGCAGTTAGGGCCTGAAACGACTCAGCAGTTCCTTTTGTCATGTGATGAAGGCGCATGACATGCCCTCTATCTTGAGGATGTGTCCGCCTTACTCGTTTACGAGGCCGAACTGGTGGTGCGGCGGGCCCAATAGCCAACATAGGTGCCTCTTGAGCCAAAGGAATAGGCTCAGCTATTGGGGGCACAGTCCCTGTAGGTATAATGGGACTAGAAGCCCACAACATAGCTATCGGTGTTGCAACTGTTTGTTGAGAACCTGTAGCAAAAGGGAAAACAGATTCGTTAAACCGCACATGGCAACAGATATAGGTTTTCCCGCTGGTTAGGTACATGCACCTGTATCCCCTATAAGAAGGTGGGTAACCTAAGAAGACACAAGGTGTTGAGCGATAATCCATCTTATGCCGATTATATGGTCGTAGATGGGGAAAACACTCACACCCAAAAACCCGGAGAAATTGATAAGGTGGGGGCTTTTTATAGAGACGGTAGTAGGGACTTTCATAATTTAGGACAGAGGATGGAAGATAATTTATTAAACACGTGACAGCTTCAAAGGCGTAGTCCCAATATTGTTGTGGGACGGACCCTTGAGCGAGGAGAGCCAAGCCCGTTTCGACAACATGCCTGTTTCGGCGCTCAACACTCCCGTTTTGTTCATGCGTGTAGGTACATGATTGCCGGTGATTAATTCCCAAGTTTTGAAACGTGGTGTGTAGTTTTCTGTATTCACCCCCTAGGTCCGACTGTATAGATTTGATAGAGCGCGAAAATTGTCGCTTTACCAAGACGCGAAAAGAATCAAACGTTTTATAAATGTCAGATTTTACCCGTAATGGGTAAAACCAGCAGTAGCGGGAGAAATCATCAACAAATGATAAAAAGTACCGAAAACCACTAGAAGAGATTATCGGGGCAGGCCCCCAGATATCTGTATATAATAGATCCAGTACATTTTCACTATTGTTATTTACTCTATCTAGCTTGAAACGTGATGATTTGCTAAGGTGGCAAGCTGAACATGATCCGACTGCGTGGCTATTTGACGTGACCGAAACATGTGGCATGATTTTATTTTGCACCATATTGTGAGGATGACCAAGCCTGCGGTGCCACACGGCCGGCGTAGCTCGAGACGAGACAAAAGCGAACGGACTCCAGGAAACAGATAATGCATATAGACCTCCCGAGGCGGGACCCTTAAGCAGAACTTCCTTGGTTTTGGAATCCTTCACAAATAAGCAATTGTCATGAAACTCAAAAAATACTCGATTTTCTTTAGCAAACTTTTGAACGGACAATAATGGTACGGTTAATTTCGGTACATATAAGACATTAGACATATGTAAGAGTTTTGACACGGAATGAATGGATACACGACCAACCCGCGAGATAACCAAACCTGTACCATTTCCCACGCGCAGGGTGTCCGGGCCACCATATTCATCAGAGTTAGACAGCATGTTCACGTCAGGCGTTGCATGTGACGAGGCCCCGGAGTCCGGGTACCACGCATCCGGAGGCGGTGCGGCTGCCGTAGTGTCGCCGGAGACAGCGACGTTGGCTTGGGCGGGCGGTTGGGTGGTGTAGCGCTTGTAGCAATAAATCGCCGAGTGACCGTGAGACCTACAGATTTGGCATCTTGGAGATCCCCGGCCACCATTTCGTCCACCACGGTTGTTATTCCGACCACCATTGCGACCGCGGCGACCACCATCCGCATTCTGATTGCCATTGCTACGCCCACGCCCTGCATACATGGCAGTATGGTTGCTGCCACTGCCGATATCCGCCGGAGCAGCGAGGTCGTCACCCAGAATGAAATCTGCCGCCTGCAGACAATCCGAGAGGGTGGGCAGACCGACTGGAGCGTTGGCAGTAAGAGATGCGACGTAGGACCTGTACTCCGGGCGCAGACCACGCAGAACATATAAGTTCTGTTCGGCCAGGGAGAGGGGTGAGCCGGCTTGCGCAAGAGCTTCCACTAAAATCTCCGCACGCCCGAGATAGTCCGCAGGAGATGCGTTGCCCTGCCGGAGCGCTTGGAACTGACCAAGCAAATTCATGCATCTCGCCTGAGTGTTGGAGCCTAGAGCCGTAGTGATCGACCGCCACACGTCCGCCGCCGTATTCCGGCCAACCGCCAAATGGAGCACCTCATCTGACATTGAGGAGATAAGGAGGGAGAGGATCGACTGATCCTGTTGCATCCATGCCTTATACGCCAGATTAGGAGTAGGCTCGGCGGTGGGGATTACCGAACTGGATTCGCCGGCGGAGGAAGTGACCATGGCCGCCGGACAGGGATGACTCCCGTCGATGAACCCGATGAGATCATGGCTACGCAAAAAGGGGAGCAACTGGGTACGCCAGAAGAGGAAATTGCGTTGCGTGAGCTTCATTGAGATAAAATGATGAGCTCCGGCAAGTGGGTTGACGCCGGCCGGGGAGGAGCCACCGGCGGCGGAGGGGGTTCTTTCGGAGGAGTTGGAAGACATGATCGGAGTCGGAGGGGGTTGCGGATAATTTGGAGAGAGGATCGTTTAGTTAGGCTGATACCAGATGAATGCGATGAATTCAATTAACCGTAACAGAATGAATTACAGATAGTATATCAGAAGTCTACCACTAAAGACTCCTAACTATTAGGCTAGTAGAATTAGACTTAATCTCCTACCACAAACTAATATACTATAGACATAACAATAATAATAATAATATAAACCATACTAACAGCAACAACACCCACCTTAGAGCCAAGGGTGGCAAAACCAGTGGCAAGGAGGAAATCAGGGTGGAAATTCTTCTTACAACACCTACAGAGGTAACTTTCACATTCAAAACCCACCTCAAAGAGGGGGGGCCCTATAGACCACCGCCCACACAGCAAGTGGGAGGTTATCCTCCTAGAGATGAGCCACCGAGGGAGAATTTTGAAGAGAAAATGGTAAGAATGATGTCTGAAATTAAGCAAGACATGGGACACATGATGCAAGAATGGAAACGAAGACATAAGCAAGAAGTTTCTGCTGTGAGACAAGAGGTCTCAAACTACAGGCAAGAGTCCACTTCATAAATTCGCAATCTGGAGACTCAGCTAGCCCAAGTTACTAAAACAATGGCAGAGAGGCCTCGGGGAACACTTCCTAGTACCACAAAGAATAACCCTCGAGAGAGAGTGCAAGCCATTATCTTGAGAAGTGGCAAAGAGCTTCCAGATCCTGTTTTGCAAAAGGGCTCAATTTCAAATGGCCCAATTGAGGAAGCAAATTTGAAGGACCCTATTGAGACAATCATTATTGCATGGACCATGGTCCACACAATTGTATATTATTTAAGGGTATATTATTTATGTACGTAAATAAAAAATATATTTTTAATATACTAAGGGTATATTATTTATGTACGTAAGGTACATTTTTTGAAAATACATTTCTAATATACTAAGGTTACATTATTTTATATAATGTACCTTCAGTACAAAAATATTGTACTTTTAATATATTAAAAATATACCTGATATTCATGGTCCACACAGTTCATGTAATAATTTGCCATCATTATTGTATGGACCATATTTTGTATACTATAAAATAATGTATATTTAATTCAAAAATATTATACTTTTAGTATATTAAAAATGTACTTTCTTTTATGATCCATACAACACTAGGTAAACCATGATCCACACAATAATCTACCCCCTCTACTACATGTACTTTGATCTAAGAATTTAGGACAACTTTTACTAGAAGTGAGAAAATAATTCATTCGGTTAATTGTCAATTGACCTTTTCCTAAACTGATTTTACCTAAATTCTAAATATTCTAAACATTAAATAAAAATTTCATTTAAACTACAGTAATTGTTACATATTAGAACAAAAAATAAAAATCAAATCGTTATTTTGTTTACAGAATTGAACATAGCTAATTTGCTGACCAAGCTGAAGT